AAAAGTTGATCTCCCCCAACTTTTAAAAGTCTACTTCTAAGAACAAATTAGAGCACCCAGAAACACTTCTACAATTTCACTCAAACACTCCAATATTTACTTTTGTTCTATGACGGAGTAGAATCAGTTTTAAGAATTCGATCCAAACACCCCCTAATACTCAATAGAAGACATTTGATGTTCAATGAAAATGCTATAATGTTTAACTAACAAAACATACGATTTTCATATCAATGCTTAATACTCCCTCCGGTTCTTTTTAAACTTCAGACTTTCCTTTTTGGGACGGTCCAAAATAAACTTCACACTTCCTTATTTCCTTATTTGGCAAAGAAATCTACATCAAAACAGTGTTAAACAGTGCTAAAAAGTGTCAAACAGTGTCTCAACAGTGCCAAACAGTGCCAAACAATGTCTCAATGGTGTACTCTACAGTAAAGTCAAATTTATTTCCTTAATCAATGTGAAGTCAAACTGTGAAGTTTAAAAAGATCCGGAGGGAGTATGTAAGTTACATGTACCCATGTGGTACTGTTGTTATATTCATTTTTAAAATGACATGTCAATGCATATTTTCAAAAGTACTACTCCGTATAGTCCGTATTAGGATGTTTTTACTTGGACTGTAATTTTCTGGTCTGATATGGTCTGGTCTGATCTGAACTGGTCTGGTAATGTCAGGTTTCTTTGTATTTTTATAACTATCCACATATGATCTGAACTGGTCTGGTCTGATCTGGTCTAAGACGGATTACAATCTAAGTAAAAACATCCTTACTTTACATTGACATATTAAATTTATAGGAGTTGATTATGAATATGGAGTAAAGTTCCCCGGAGAGTCTATGACATAATTTAATACGGAGTAAAGTTTTATAAAATGAAAGATAAACTAACAGAAAAGTGAATTTAAGGAGTGTTTGTATTTGCTTAAAAAAAGTGCTTTTCAACTTTTGGCTTAAAAAAAGTTGAAAAGAGTGTTTTCAAATGACAGCTTCTGCTTAAATTAATCACTTAAAAGCTAAAAGCTGGAGCAGGTAGAAGAGTGCTTTAAACTGCTTCTCACTTTTTCTATTACACAAAAAATACTTATTTTACCAAACACTACCAACTTTTACTTTTCCAGAATCACTTTTTTCTCAAACACTACCAACTTTTACTACTAATCACTTTTTCCAAAATCACTTAAAAAAATCACTTTTTTAAAGTTGAAACAATTGCAAACGCTCCCTTGGACTCTCAATATTCAACTGCAGTTTTACAAATTTTTTAATTCAGGAATCTTCTGTCTCCACCGCTGGAGTTCGTATATCCTAGTACACCCGGTTTTTTTTTTAAAAAAATTTTGCAAAATCACGCTTCAATTAATACTCCACTTGCATCGTAAATCCTTCAGCTCATTTTAATCTTCATGTCTTAATTCTCTGCTGCCAGGTGTTTTGCACTGGCACCTCTCGTCGAATACCTTCTGGATATAGACCACCTCCTGCTTTGTGCCGACTTATGCTCTCACCGATCTTGATTTGAGGGCATATTTTCTACTCCATATTTCCGTTTTCTTTCTTGTTCTTTAACCTTCTTTTGCTTTGTTTTCTTAAGTGCAAATATAGAATACTCCGTATTATTTAATGTCCAAGACCCCATGCTTATTTTATTTATTTTCTTATTCCAATCAACTTTTATTAGTTTATAACTTCACTATTTAATTTGTGCATTATATAACATTTTAGGTATTAATATTTTATTTTATTAAATAATGTGTATTAATTATTTTAATAATGTGTGTTAATATTGTGTATAATATTTAAAAGGAATGAACATACACAACTGAATATTTGAACACATTAGAGGTTTTTAAATGAGCTTTTGAAGTTTTCGATACTCATTTTGTACGTTACGTATGCTCATCTGATATTGGTTTTGTTCTAATTTTAAAATGTCATATCAATGCATATTTCAAAACTATCATATTACATTAGATTCACATGAAAGTTGATTATAGACTCGAGAGCAAGGATAATAATACCCAATTGCATGTTTCTGATACTCAATAGAGGGAGGTTGATGTTCAATTAAAATGTCTTGATGCTCAACTAACATAGCTTATGATTTTCATATCATTGCCCATTTGGTAAGTGATTATGCTCATTTTGTACTGGTGTTATGCTCAGTTTAAAATGTTATATCAATGTATATTTCAAAATACTTAGACTCCTAATACTCAACATAATAGGTCTGATGCTCATTAAAATTTTATCAATGCTCATTCCCAAGAAACCGTGATATGCGAATTTAATGTAATATGACACTTTTTAAATATGCATTGATATGACATTTTACATTTTTTTTTGAAGGAAATCAAACTACATATTATTGATCATCATATCAAAGTTTAAGGAGACCAAAATACAATATGGAGGTGTGGTATGCCACATATAGCAATCAGACATAGAAACGGCTGCCCTCGCTAAATCGTGAGCAACCCGGTTCGCTAACCGCTTCACATGAGAAATAGAAATACTAGTGAAACTAGTCATAATATCTCTTATATCATCAATAATGACACCGAAGGACGATTCATCTGGACTATCATGGATACTCTTAATAACCTGAGTAGAGTCACATTCCACGTCAATAAAATCAAAGCCATAGTCCCTAAGCCGACTAATGGCCTCCCTTACCGCAAGGGCTTCAGCTTCGCGAGGTTGGCAAACTCCGTGTCTTCTCTTTATTCCACCGACAATAAAAGATCCTGTATAGTCCCTTACCACCCAGCCCAACCCGCTGCAGTCCCCTCCTATCTTCACCGCAGCGTCCACGTTGACCTTTAAATGACCCTCTCTCGGTTTAATCCAATGCTTGGGAGCTGCTGCAGTTTTTCCTGCTACTGAGGCTGTCATTTGAGCCCTTCGCCATCCATCAAGGAATGCATCAGCCACTGCAATAATACTCCCAACACCAGCAAGAGACTTCTTCCACAAAACCTCATTTCTAGCCTGCCAAATGCTCCATAAAAGCATCAAAAACCTGCAGCATTTTCCCTCCTGGTGCGCCATGATAAAAGCTTCTGCCCATTCAGTTATGAAATGATAATTATCAACGTTGACATTCCACTTTAGTTTCTCCCAAACCTTTTTCGCCACCACACATGACCCGAACAAATGAAGTGCTGACTCTCTATCTTGATCACAAAGAACACACCCCTGGGAACATGCCACCTTTTTCATTATCAGTTCATCTGACGTAGGTAAACAATTCGTACACATACAGCTGCCAGAAAAAAACTTTAACCTTTGGTGGAATATTAAAGTTCCACATACGAGTCCATCCTACTCTCTCTCCCGATCTCAAGCCACCTGTTAGCAACCGATAACAACTCTTAACAGTATACCTCCCCTTTTCTCCCCCAGGCCATACAATTTTATCTGGAACAACCCTTTTACACACTGGTATGACATTTTACATATTTGCATAAAATCAGTATCAAATGAGCGTATGTAACTTAGACAATGTGCATTGGTATGAAAAATGTAATGTTGTTAGTTGAACATCACAACATTTCATTGAGCTTCAAACATCCTCTATTAAGATGAAATTCATGGTTTCTATTAAATGAGCATTAATGAACTTTTACTGAGCATCAGACCAATTCTGTTGAGTATTAGGAGTCTGATATTGAGCATCGAGATCTCTACTTCAAATCTTATATTCACTTTCATTTTCTTATTTTTTCCTTTAAAAAAATTATGAAATTATATCTATAAACAACTCCTATGAAACTTCAATATGTGAATCTAATGTAATATGGTACTTTTGAAGTATGCATTGATATGACATTTTAAAAATGAACATAAATGAGTATAAATTGGGTATATGTAACTTACAAAATGAGCTTTAATATGAAAATCATAATATGATACTTTTGATATATATATATATATATTGATATGACATTTTAAAAATGAGTATAAATGAGTATAAATTGAGCATATGTTACTTACAAATGAGCATTGATAAGTTTTTTAAATTGAGCATCAAGACATTTTCATTGAACATCAAATCTCTTCTATTGAATATTAGAAACATTTAATAGAGTATCAAGGTATGTGCTCGATCTAGTATCTATAATCAACTCCTACGTAAATATAATGTAATACGATACTTTTGTAGTATGCATTGATATAACATTTTAAAATGAGCATAGATCCATTACCAAATGAGCATACAAAACGCACTAAATGAGCAATAATATGAAAATCATAAGCTTTGTTACTTGAGCATCAAGACATTTCATCGAACATCAAATCTCTTCTATTGAGAATCAAAAGTATGCAATTTAGTATTATGATCTATGCCCCCATGTGAATCTAATATGAAACTTTTGAAATATGCATTAATATGATATTTTAAAATGAACATAGAACCAATACTAGATGAACGTACGTAACTTACAAAATGAGCATAAAGAAAAATCAAAAGATCGTTTGAATTCTCTAATGTGTTTAAATGTTCATTTTGTACATTTATCATAATGACAAACATCATAATGACAAATATAACAATTTTATATAAAAAATAATTTATAGTGTTTCTTTCTGGAATTCCAAATTTAATAGGGTTCTTTTTATAATGTTTACCCATGCTATTTATTTTACAATACTCATTTTAGCATAACATAAAACTCATGTTAATTAGTTATTAGTACATACTATTTAATACACTAATAAATATTCATCTTACACTAAAAATAAAAAATAAGACATTAATACCTCAAATATTTAATAAAGTAATAAATATTCATCTTAAACTAAAAATAAAACATTAATACCTCAGACATATATACAGCATAAATTAAAGGTAAAATCAATGGAAAAGGTGTTAAAACAAAAAGGGAAAAAAAAATTAAAAAGAAAGATCAGAGTTACGTGAAATCAAAAAAAGTCAAACGGAAAATAGATATGGTTGCGCGTAGTGGACTAAAGCTAGCAGCGAAAAATAAAAAAAGAGCGTATGCGGGATGAACGAACAAACTGAACTAGTGAAACAATTACAAAAACACCCCGTTATAATTTGAGCCACCGCTGTGCTGACTGCTGAAGCCACAAGGAGGAGGGAGTGACTACCAGTCCAACAGCTCAATGATTAGGATCGGGGATAAGCTCTTCAGAGCAAAATGCCGTGGATCTACACTACTAGCTTTACTCCGCCTTCCAGCTGCAGCGGCGTCACCACCTCATAGAGCTTTCTCGAATAAAGTCCACTCAGATAGCTCTTTCAAGATCAACCCAGTCGCCCTTGAGATGACGAATTACGCGCTCTCTCTAGCCCGTTCTGAGAAGTCAGGTCATTTACCCCGCCACACCTTTTTTGTTTTCTCTTTAAATGAGTTTTCAATGTAAAATAAAAAAAAATGGTATTTTGAAGTTTTTTTGCCATTTAATTAAAGGTGATGCTTATGCTCAAGCTCAGTTGGTTTTGGAGCAGTGCTACTCTACTCACTCTGATGAAAATGTTAAAGGAATGGTTGTACTAGCGATGTCTTCATTGTTGTATCATAGGTCCACACTCCACACTGATTTGTGAACGAAACGTCTCAGTTAATTCTCACGTTTCCTTCATGGAATTTTCACTAAATCTTTATTTTCATGCCTCGTTTCCTCTTCTTTTCTAATGGGAAATCAGTGGGAATTATGAAGAAGCAATTGAGAAACTTCAGAAAATTCAAAATTTAAGCTTGTCTTCGATGATTATCAGAGGTAATCATTACTATTTTTGTATGGTTAACTTAAGGACTTCGTAGTCCATTTTGTAGTTATATACTAGTCTTGTCTAAAACTCTGCTGTTGATAGTTTGTGGACATTATTGTAGTTGCGGCCTCAGAGGCACTTGTTGGACTTCATTTAGAACTGGGCCAAGTAAACCCCTTGTGAAACTACTCATTTTCATTTGGACATGGTTGGTTTAGGTTATGTAAAAAGTTGCGTTATCATTTTTTATGACTGTCTCGGTATTTCTTTTCATGTTGCAGGATGATGCAGCAGCAGCAACTGCAGATATGTGTTTGCAACTCTTGGAAACCATTAAGTTAGACGTCGGCACTGAAGGCATTGAGGCCTTGGTAGATCAATCTAAAGCATTAAAAGGGCTTGTTGAGTTGATCCGTGGGAATACCGAATCAGGTTAATGAAATATTGTTCCCCTAGCCTCTTTATTTTCTTGAGTGTTTCTCATTTCTCTCACAGTCCATTCAGATCCGGGAAGTACCAGGGAAAATGATATGAAAGGAAACATAGCAGGAAATGAATCACATTTCATTTTCTTTTTGTATTTTCCATGGTAAAACCAAATATATAAAAATTACATCCCTTTGGCGTATTTTTTCCTTTCCATGCATTATTGGATCCATACATTCCAAATTTCATTTGACATGGATTCCGTTTCAGCAATGCCTTGCTTCCCGGAAGGTCGATATGGGGACTGTTCCTCTTTTGTAATGGGTGGTCAATGCACTGGCAATGCTGCACTTTCTTATGGTGAATTCCTTCACCACAAGTCGGATTTTGAAATGGCAAAGCACATGTACACAAAAGTGATTAGCGAGGAATTTCTGGGAAAGGAATCTAGTAATTTGCATCAGTTATCAGCTTGTAATATGAACTTTGAGGACACCATAGTGGGAGCTACATGTGCTTTAGGACAGCTAGAGGCTCAGTTGGGGTAAGCTTATAATTTGCAGCTCTTGTGTGAAATTTAATATAGCTCTAATCTTGGGCGAGTAATCAAACTTTAGGAACTTTGAAAATGCTGAGAAGATGTTAACTACAGCACTAAAGAAAGCAGAACAAACTCTTGGTGTGATCATCTCCTCCCCTTTTAACTTTTGGTTTTCACAGTGATTTTATTTAGCTATTCTGATTTACTTTTATTTGGCCTCACAGGTGATCAACATCCCAAAATTGGTGCTATTTTAACCTGCATAGCTCTTATGTATCGACACAAAGCAACAGTTGAACGATCTAGCTCTCTATTAATTCAAGAGGTTTGTAACTCTGCAAATCATTTCCAGTGGTTGCCTTTAAATTTCTTGCTCATACTTCTTATGCAACTTCATTATAAAAAATGTCAACAATCAAGCCTTATGATGTTTTTACTTGGACTGTAATTCGCTGGTCTGGTCTGAACTGGTCTGGTTTCTTTGTATTTTTTTTAACTATCCAAGTCTGTTCTGGTCTGGTCTGGGACAGATTACAGTCCAAGTAAAAACATCCTTAATCTTAAACCAACAGGGTCAACTCCAAAGAGCAATATAAATTTTCTCAAGGTCATTGGCCAAAGTAAAAATCCGCATGTTCTACCCTTTTACCCTTTCCATCCTGTCACTTTTGGCCTACCACAACTTCTCTTCAAGTCTTCAACATTCTAAGACTACTCTGTACCGGAAAATTTACTTCTTGACGATGTCCAAACCAACATGTCTCTTTCTCTCTTTATCTTCAATATCCGATACACCCACTCCCGTGAACCTCGTTATTGTGAACTCTATCTTTTCTATCCTTACCACACGTCACTCTTGAATAAGTATCTTTGTGACACTCATTTTCTTTATTTAATATTTATTACCCAACATTTTTATCCAGGGAATCTAGCAACTCTAATAAAATTTCCCCTATAAACTTGAGGGTACATTAAAAATTTACAATCACATAGTATTCTTATTGTTCCTTTCTATTTTAGCCAACCTGCACTTTTATATCTTCATCTATCTGTATAATAGATTCTAGATATATGAAAAATTTCTCTCTCTTTTCTCTTTATCTAAAAAATTGATGCAAATTGCACACATTGTCCCCATATTTTTCACATAGCATTCAATTCTTCCTTATATTAGTCGCGATTAACAGGATATGATCCACAAACAACATCATATCTCTCGTTGACTCTCATGTCATCTATGACTCGCAAAAAGGATAGTAAAATTATCATGCCACAATGGCACGATGAGCTAAGTGGGGATTCCTGGTGCAGTCTAATCATGTCCGATAAATCTTTTGCTACTTCATCAGTCAGCTGTATAATCTTCTAAAGCATTATATTCACTGTAAGACAAATAATTCACACCCCAAGTACAAGCTCCTGAGAAAAGTGGTAGAGTAATTTGCTTAAGTACTCTGGATGAGGCTTTTTTAGAGCTATACCCATTCAAATAATGTCACTTGGAATTTATCCTATTGAATTTTTCGGTTTGATCCTGTTAAATTGAACCTGTTTTTCTTTGGCTCCGTATTTGGTTTGCTTTATGTGTTGTTTAGGGACTCTACAGAAGGGCAATTGAATTGTTTAAAGCTCCTCCACTGGATTTCAAAGGTATGATTGTCTGAAGGAAAGTACAAAGAAGCTTTGCCTTCGCATGTACTCTTTCTCACACACACAAACACACACTGACACACTTAAAGAGGGACTGTTTTGTACAAGTGCGGGAGTGCTGAGGTTGCATGTCATAGCAATGGGAGGGTGTTTAGGTTTTCCAGAATAGCGAAAATCGGAGCTGCACCATCTGAAAAACCTAGGGTTAGGATTGTGGACAAGATATTCGGACAACTCCGAAAAGATTTTTTTGAAGATTTCGGATTCCTACAATCCTAAATATATAAATGGTGATAAGTAGGAACACACAAGTATGCTAGTGGGCGAGGGAACATCCAAATGCACTGTGCACAAATATAGGTGTTCACTTTTGTTATTTAACACTTTTTATTGGTTATTCTTTGTATATTCATTAAATTTCTGTTCAAGTTCTTTTTTAATAACTATTTATTTCAATTTAACTATTTTTAGAAATTTGTGTAAAGGCTTTTGTTTTAATTTCAAATTTTGCTTTGGTTGAAGGTAGAAGTAAGACATGATTTTAAAAATATAGTGGAAATATTTAAAGATTGGGTTGTTTGGGTGGTGAAAAATTGAAGAATATTTTATTCATTAAGATGTTAAATATCACAACGCTGAAATTTCAGCTTTTGTAAAAGAAAAGATTTGGATCCTTTGAAGAATTATGCCTCAGATCCCAACCTACAAATATTCGGATGGTCTAACTCCGTTTCCCGTAAATGAATACCGTAATATCAACTCCTGTCATTTTTTCTCCATAAAAAGGAGCTGCAGAGTGTTTAAATGTGTTACTTTCCAATTTTTATTTAATTAAACAATAGTGTTTCGCTATAGTGTTTCCACACTTGACAAAAGATCCGCCAGTAATCGAATCTTGAATTATGTGATATGTACAGGTGCACAAGAGCAAGCTTGTAGGAGAGATTTAATTGCTTTAGTGAGAGGTACCCACTACTCTACATGCTTAACATGAATAACCATTGTGTATGATAAACTTAAAGGCCTTTGGTCATGTGCACCTTGCAACTAAAATCATGATACAGATTGTGTGCATGTTATGTTAATAAACCTGTATCAAATGCATTGGAAAACTAAAAGAAGTATGATGAATAGATTGTCTGGATCCATTTAGATATCACGCAGAGTTTTAAGCAGGAGCTTGGGTTAATGGATTAAGGAGTTTTCTATGAGGGTCACACTGTTTACACAGTGGTTCCATACAAATTTGCCCTTTGTTTATATTACCCCAAGTAATTCCACAAGTCAGTTTCACGATTTTCCCTTCTCATTTGATTGCTTTTTTTGCGTAGGTGGTTATGCAGAAATATTGTGTCTGCAACAGAACAGAAAAGGTGAAGGGGAGAGGATGAAGCTTTGGGCTGAATCTGCTTGGAGCAACCCCACACTATCCTTAGCCCAGGCACTCGAACCACCATCATCTAACTCTTCTACCAAAGTAACTATTATAGATACCAGAATATGCAGGATCATATAGTCTTCTTTCCTGCTCCTGCACAGTTTGTGCGTCTCCCTCAGCTCTTCAACCCTCTCATTTCTAGTGAGAACCTTGTATGTGGCTATGTGTCTGTCAGGATATTTAATAGATTTGAACAAAATGGAAGGAAAGAAGAAAGGTCAGATGACAGCAGTAGTAGTAGTACTGTTTTCAGATTTAAATATTTTTGAATGGAACCAATAAAAACAGTGTGCTTTTACAAGGGAGCTTCAATGGAAAACACACCAATACGTTCTCATAATGGAAGATCAAGGCCTTTCCCGACATCAACCCCAATAGCCTGAAGTATTCCCTTATTCAATATCTGTAATAAAAGACAATGCAACAGAAGTATTAGAATGTTTTCTTTTGCACTGTTTTCAGTCCCAGACCGGATCAAACTAAACCAGACTTGACTTCCGTAGTTATAAAATGCACAAAGACCAGATGTTTACCAGTTCAGATCAGACCAGCAAATTTCAGTCCAAAAGAAAATATCCTTAAAACCAATGACCAAAATTTACATTGATCTTTGGTTGAGTGTACTTGGAGTTCTTTTTTAGCAGTTGGGTTGTGTCTAGGGATGGACTCGGGCCGGGCCAACCGGACCGGCCCGCTACTGTGCGGGCCCGGACCGGTGAACCGGTTCGGTTCCGGTTCGGGCCTCCCGGCCCGGTGGTATACCGGTCCGGGCCCGGGCCTCCAGTTTAGTGAACCGGCCGGGCCGGGGCCGGTTCGGGCCGGAATTTAATTTTTTTTTTTTTGATTTTTTTTTTAAGTTTTGGGTTGGATTAGGTATTTTGGGCCATTTGAGGTGGTTTGGGGTGGTTTGGGGTGGAGGGGGAGGGGGAGGGGTAGGGGGTTAAATAAGAGAAGAAGAAGAAAAAAAAAAACATTCCGGGTGGCCCGGCCCGGCCCGGTTCTGGCCCGGAACCGGAACCGGAACCGCCCACCACCGGTTCGGGCTCGGGCCTCCTTTTTCTGAACCGAGGCCCGGCCGGGCCCAGGCCCGAACCGGGCCCGAACCGGAACCGGTCCATCCCTAGTTGTGTCCGATTCTTTATCGTTTAATTGAATCTCGAATGCTTTTGCAAGTTTATTGTAATATTTCTAGCTTCCCACCCGCAAAAAAATATTTGTAAAATTAATTATACAAGAAAGGAATAGTAAAATATACGATAGTATATGGACTAAATATGGAAATTAATCCTTGGATATTACTAGTAGTAATCAATTTATAGAAAGTATATTTCTGAAAATGATGAACTTTAATTTTTTTTTCATTAAAAATAATATGATAGATTTGTGAAATTTAACCATAATTGGGGATATTTTAAGCTAATAACTGATTTGAACCAATGTTTTACTTCCCTCGGACATTTTTAGTTTCTTTATATAAATATGAGGAAATCTTAATTTAGGCAGTGAATTTAAGAGATCACTAATATTATTTGATTTTACCTAGTCAGTGTTTTCAAGGTGAAAACAAATAGTATAAGAAAATAATTTTCCTTGGCATATTGTTTGCCTTTTCTACAACTTTTTCAGATCCAAACATTGCATAAGGAATCGGTAACTGACCAGTTCTAAAATGAATGTTCCAATCAGTCCAATCATACAAGCTCTGGAGTTGTATATTTCAGCAGTTCTTGTAAAACCCAGAAATGGGGGCTTAAGTTTTGGCTGTTCCTTTGGGTAATCCACCTTGAAGAATTGTGTACACATTAGACAGCCTTTTATATTATGAATTCAATATTTGGGGGAAAAGAGGAGAGGCGTGAGAGATAGATACCCCGGCAGGAAGCTTTGCAGCTTGAACTTTGAAGGAGATGTGTTTCTGGGAAACTGTGGAGCTTCGAATGAGATGACTTACAAGGGAAGCTTGTTGACCTGGAACCGGAAGCCTTGGGGAGACAGAACGCGACGGAAATGGCGGTAGAATTGCTGCCATTGCTGTCAAGTGCTTCTTCACAGTCCTCTTCTTTGCGTGTGTGAGCGAGGGAAAGCCTTCACATAATCCTGCGCGTTCAATTTTGAGGATTGGGATAGGTAAGGGAATGACGTGTTTCTTCTCCAACCTTAGGGAGTGTTTGCAATTGCTTCAACTTTAAAAAAGTGATTTTTTAGAGTGATTTTGGGAAAAGTGATTAATAGTAAAAGTTGGTAGTGTTTGAGAAAAAAGTGATTCTGAAAAAGTAAAAGTTGGTAATGTTTGGTAAAATAAGTACTTTTTGTGTAATAGAAAAAGTGAAAAGCAGTTTAAAGCACCCTTCCACCTGCTTCCAGCTTTTAGCTTTTAAGTGATTAATTTAAGCAGAAGCTGTCATTTGAAAACACTCTTTTTAGCTTTTTTTAAGCCAAAAGCTGAAAAGCGCTTTTTTTAAGCAACCGCAAACACTGCTTTATACTCTCTCCCTCCCCCAATTAAGTTCTCACTTTCCTTTTTAGCCAGTTCCTAAATTAAGTTCACACTTCGATACTTTTTTTATTTGGCAAATAATCTACATCAAAACAGTGTCAAACAGTGCACTCTACAGTAAAGTCAAATTTATTTGGGAAAACTGTCAAATAGATCCTTGAACTTTTATAAAAAGGTCAATTAAGTCCTTCTATAGGAGGTTCTGTCCGGCCGTCGCGATTTGGGGCAGTTCCCGGTGGAGTTTTTTGATGAAATTTTTTGAGCGTCTTATTCACCAAGTCTAGTTTACTCATACCAAATTTCAGCTAAAAATTCAATCGAGAACACATTCAAATTAATTCTTAAAGATAACTGCGCATTTTTGCGTTCTCGAATTAATTTGAATGCGCTCCCGATTACATTTTTAGCTAAAATTTGGTATGAGTAAACTAGACTTGATGAATAAGATGCTCTAAGAATTTCATCAAAAAATTCCACCGGGAACCGCCCCAAATCGCGATGACTGGACAGAGTCTCCTATAGAAGGACTTAATTAAGTTTTTTATGAAAGTTTGAGGACCTCTTTGACAGTTTTCCCAATTTATTTTCTTAAAACCTGTGAAGTCAAACACAGAACTTAATTGGGGGACGGAGGGAGTACTATTGTACTTCTTTCCTGCTACTAACCTGTGTTTAAGAAACTGGCCCGGCCCGGTTGACCCGGAAACCGCCGACCCGGGTAAATCACCAATCAGGTGCAAGTCAGAACCGGAAAAGGTCAATACCCGTAAAACATATTGGTGCAGATTTATTTGCAGTAAAGGATCGACCCATCTGACCCGCGGTTGAACCAGTTGATCCGCGACCTAGTGCTCCAAACGGTTCATTGTCCGGTCTGGTCCTGTTTTTTAAACGTAGTTACTAACCCCAAACTCATAAGTTGTGATTGCAAATACCGGGGACGGAGCCCCACTCTCTATCTGTCAGATTGTGATTATAGTCCAATTTATATCCTCCCATCGTGCCGTTCGGTCGGTGTTGGGGGCCCTCAGGGATGAGGTGTCATCCTTTTTTTTATAAGTTGTGATTGCAATGAAATGTGAAATTTGACTTTGCGTTCAAGTTTTGGATATCGGTTTTTGCACTTTTTTAAAATCATTAATATTTGCATCCATCGTTCCAAATATTATAAATGTGTGTGGTGTAAAGTCAAATAATTTTATAGTGAAATTAAGTCCATACATTAATACGGGTAATTTTTAAAATATGATGTAAAGTCAAATATCACTCAAAAAACAGGGTGTAAAGTTAATTAAAAAAATAGGGTGTAAAATCAAATTCAAATAGACATTTTAATGGTCCTTTTTAGTCCCTCATCTTTACTTTTTTCAATGATGATAAACTTTAACCAATGTATATGAAATAGATATATATGTAGTATATAAAAGTCTCTTGCAAAAAAAATGTAGTATATAAAAGTGAAATAAAGATATTCTTTTTGTTTGTAAAATATGAAAATGTAGTTTGCCGAAGAGGGGCAAGAGACATTATTTAAGATGTGCATATAAGTACACCATATATATGTGTTGTGTTAAATGGAGTGTCCGGAATGAGGCAACCATAGATGTTGAGGCGATTAAGGCCATGTTTTTCTCTTCACCACATACCACGGAACTGACTCAACCACTCTCCGCTCTATCCATCTTTTATGCTTCACACCTCTCTCAGTTTGCATCAAACACTTCCACTCATCATAAATATAATAAATAAATAAAGTTTCTTAATTTAATTAAGAAATACTGCATGCGATAACAAGCTAGCTCGCTAGCTAATTTTCATTCATTCATTCATTTGATTTGATTTTCATAACATGTAGCTACAGATCGATCCAGGCCTATATACTGCTAGCCAGCAGCGCTGGATACATTCTCCTCTCCGGCTAATTCAATCCAAGGATACATATCCACCCATCCGCTAGGTAGAGCGATCGGGCCCGCAGGCCAATGCCTATGAGGGCCGCACCGCCACCCGCGCAATATGTTTCTCCCCCGCCGGTTACGCTTCTCCTCATAGCCTTCCTCCTCGTCTTCTTCTTCTTGGGCATCTTCTTCGTCATCTTTTGCAAGTACTGCATACAGAGCTTGTGGCACAACCGCCGCATCACTCAGGCCGGAGCCCCCCTCGGCCCGGACGGTAACCCCGCCGCCGACATGCCCCCCGGGATCGACCCCAAGATCATCGACTCATTCCCCACTTTCACCTACTCGAGCGTCAAGGACTACCGCAAAGAGAAGTATGGGCTTGAATGCGCCATCTGCCTTGTTGAGTTTGAGGATGAGAGTCTTCTGCGCCTGCTGACCTCCTGCAGCCACGTGTTTCACCAGGAGTGCATTGATCTTTGGATGGAATCTCACAAGACTTGCCCAGTCTGCCGCCAGGCCCTCGACTCTCTGCCGCCCCCGCCTTCTACCTCTCCTTATTCCTCGGTGCCGGGAGGAGGCAGCAGTGTCGATGATGATGAAAACTTTCAAGAAGAATTTGATCGTGATGATGACGATGAGCAAGTGCGTGACGACACGCATCATCATAGCATCACAATAGTACATGATGATGAGGTCGTCATCGATAATACCAATGACGACCTCACAAATAATAGAGGGGAAGGAGGAGCAAGTGTTGACCATATAAGTAATCATAATAATCATCAGCAACGAAATACTTCCCTACACAAATATGTTGTAACCACATTAAATACTAAAAACAACAATAATCATTATCATTGTAACAACAACAACAACAACGATAGTAACAATAATAGTAATAGGAGTAGTGTAATTAGGGAGGAGGAAGAGAAGTTCCCAAGGTCCCATTCCACAGGGCATTCGATTGTTAAGATTAGGGAAGATCCGGAGGACAGGTTTACTTTAAGAATACCTCCGCATGTCCGGGCCAAAATTATTAGGGGGCACACTGTCACCAAGAGTTGCACCACGTTTGGAGAACACAAAAATAAAACAACCTCAGGAAACAGATGTAGTAGTGGTCTTAGTCAGGTTTGATCCCTGCATGCTTTATATACTTAATTAATTAGGCTCTTTTTCCATATATACTTCTGATGATACTATTTTCTCTTATTTCATTTTTAACTCTTTCTTTCATTCTTCACCTGAATTTGTCAATTTTGTTGCTTGTGAAAGTATATATACTGAAGGTGATGATGAGCATATGTGCATTCGGAAATACATGTATATATGCGATCAAATTGCAACTTTCTACCTTACTTTTCTTAACACGAGCGACTTTTTACCGTACTACTGTCAGGTTTTTATCTCACGTACAAAACAGTTGTTAATAATGGAATGGATGTATGATACGACAAAACAAATTCGGGTTAACATAAATGTAACCGTTCTTTTTTAATTGCAACGGTCAACATTTCACACTTGCCAACGCACGTCTTTGACCGTAATTATCTCTTAATCTTTATTAGAAAAAAAATTAAAAATCAGATTTTGAAAATTTGTAATGAGATGTGAATTGAACAACATTTAAAAAAAAAACAATTCTCATAAAATAATAGCGTAAAATGTAGTCATAACAGAACATGTGAATAGTGTAAAATTCAACATGTTGCGATTAAAAAAAGGTGACAACTAGGGTACATTTATAAAATATGGGGTACCGTACCTATCATTCATTTGATTGGACCACATCACTTTATCATTTTTAATTTAGATTTAAATAATTCAACTCCTACATTCTCATTGGTCCATGTGGACAAAAGTATGATATCTTATGAATACCATAGAATCTACCTAAAAATATGACGGATTGCGAAGGAAGCTTCGGACTTCGTTTGTAATTTAAGTCACATTTTACCGGACTAGTTTGTCACCATATATCTAGTGGATTATGGAGTCTGTTGAACATGTTTTTCACACCCTTGAGGCTAAATTTACACAACTATGTTGTATAATACTCCATCAATTAAAGTACAAACACCGAAGAATAAACAGATCATACTAAAGAATGATCTGGAGGTTTATATGGTACTGATCTAGAGGTTTATATGGTCAACAAAAGTAGCAATATAATATACAGATCATTCTCTAGAAGAATAAATATTTAAAGTATTAAAGATAGAAATACACCCTATCTTGTATGATACGCGGTGATATGCTAGTATTCAATGAAGTTTTCTCTAAAGAATGTGAGTCATAACGTGACTCACATGTAGCGAAAACTACACTAACCGCATTAACCGGAGTCGTGAACATAATAGTAATATTGACATATCGTACTCTTAAGACTTGATAAAGAACTTATATTGAATTTTAATGAACGTTTAAGTGAACCTTGATGTCTTGGTCACTTTACATACATCTCTCTACTTAATTCCTCAAATCCTAAATTTTATAAAAACAACAACCATATCTGTGTATTTGCAAGTTAAACCCAACTAGATATATTTCTATCTTGAAAATTTATATGTTTATTCATTTGGATTGGAGGATGACTTATATTGCAACTTTTATTGACCATATAAACCTCTACATGTTATGCATCATAATCGTGAAGAAGACACTCCTCAAATCATCGTCACTCGATCAATTTGTAGATTTGTTGCCCTAGTCCTAATCATAATTACCAAGAAGAGCTTCATTCATCATTATTTGGATTAAGGAGTATATCTAAATGTTTGGGTTATTTAGATTTTCTTCCCTTTCATATACCATCTAGATTAATGAGGTTATGAAAGGGAATTTGAAAAGATTTTAGCTCATATTTTAGTACTTTTTCTATATTTAATTCTATCTAGGATAATGTTTTAAATAATTTGTGTTAACATTAGCTTGTTTGGGAGTGTTTGGGTTCCATTTGTTTGGAAGTATTTGTGCTACCAGTTGTTTGAGAAGTGGGAGTACTTGGGTTGCTACTTGTTTGGGAGAAAGGTAATAAAATACTAAGGAGTACGTATTAGGCCATTTGTAGTGTAAGGGGATTATGAGCCTAAAAAGTTAAAAGTGGAACTCTTCAATTTTTATGAATATGGATGGTTGTGGACATTTTTTGATCCATGGATTTTTATAAAAATCAACTAACTCTTAAATCCATAGACTTTTTATTGAATTCTATAAGTTTATATACTTTCAAAAAGTACATAGACTTTTAAATCCCGCCGCAACTGCCGGTCATCGGAATTTTCACCTAGATCGCCGCTACCGATCTGCTTGTTTGCCTCCGTCACCGAAGTTCCCCGCCGTCGTCATCGGACTGATCTGCCACCAACAAAATGACTTTGGTTATGAAAGGGAATTAGGGGCAATTAATTATATTAATTAATTAAATTAGGGGTGGAAATGTCATTATATTTAGTCTGAAGGAAGATAATCAAACATATGATCATACTTTGGGAAAAATGTTACTTCCTCCGTTTAAAAATCAATGACACACTTTGATTTCACAAAGATTAACGATTTTTTTTACCGAGGGGTAAATTTTACTGTGGAGTACACTATTGACACTATTTGACACTATTTTGTACAGTATTGATATAAATTTGTTTACCAAATGGAAAGTGTGGCATTCATTTTGAAACGTCCAGAAAAGGGAAAGTGTGACATTCATTTTGAAACGGAGGGAATATGTTTTAGTCCTAACGTGACTAATTTCCTCTATATGATATGATAAGAAACAAACAAATAAATAAATAAATGAAAGAAATGTAATTTATCTAGCAACACAGAATTCTACAAGAATAAATGAAGCATAAGAATCCAAATTTATTTTTATTAAAAAGAAAACTCAAAGTTTCGAGAATGCTCAAGAACCTCGGTCTCTTTATAATCAATATAATGAGTATATTACACAACTCAATGAGTAAGAACATTAATTGTTACACAAATGTTACACTCATTGCTACATGTGGTATAAGCATAAGTGCAATTGAGATTTTCTTCTTAATAATTGTTTTTTCTTCATTTTTAACATGTTAGATTTTGTATACTTATTTACGGTTATATATTTATTAATTTGAAATTGTATATTATGTGTTAGCGATTTAACGATGAAACACAGTAATAGTTAAAATATTTTTTTTCTTAATGGTTAACTGATGACGTACCAGAATTGCACCCATATAATAATATCGATTCTTATATCGGTTTTCTAAAAACTTCTAGAACCGAATCGATACGAGATTAACGGTTCTTCAAAAGGTTCATAATTTTCTTTCAAGAATTGAATCGATCTCATCCCAACATTTTTCTTCGTAAGACGAAATATAAAATATCATTTTTTTAAGTTTAATGTAGAATTTCTAGTTCAACTTTATTTATCGTAAAATGATAAAAAAATTCAAAAATTTAATGTTGAAATCTTGCATATTGAGACCATCCTGGTAGCCACCTTCCGACCCGGCCGGTACTGGTCCAAGACTTGTTGGCTGGTTTGTGGTCCCGGTATTTAATTAGTCAAATATGCAACCAGATCTATGCGTACTTGGGACGAGTAGAAGACAACTGAAAAGTCCACGAAAATATTTTGTGAGGAGAAGAGACAATAATTGCAGAGAATTAATGTACTAAGAATGAGTTAAAAGTCCACGAGAATCCATGATTTTAGAAGTCAATAAAAATGAATGGAAGTTTGAATACGCCTAGACTTTTATACATTTTTAAAAGTCTTTATTGAATACACCTAAACTTTTGTAGATCGTTTAAAAATTTTGTCACTAATTTCTAATACAATAACCCATAATTGCTTACATTGTGAGACAAAAGGAGGATAAAATTGGAAAAGAGAATGGATGGGTTTAAATATGGAGGGAACATAGTCGGCCAAAAAGTAACAATTTTTATGGAATAAAATGGAGGTTACAAAACATCATGTTGCAGGGGTGACATCATTCACACACAAAAAAAACATTTTATTTCTTTAATTTTTTTTAACTTTTCTATTTGTACTCCAAATTTTCACACAATATATCAAAATTCATAAATTGTAATGATTTTTCATATGACACCAATATAATGTTGGGTGTGTTTCGGAAAATAAAGAAAATTAATTAAAATAAATTAATTAAAATGACGAAAGAAAACATAAATAAGATGGAGCAGAAATCAGTCAAAGCTCGTGCTACGCACGATGTCCTTAAAACGTATTTGTTACCTCCCTCGATGCTAGGAGCATTGCAACAATCATTTCCCAGGATACGATGACTTCGAACTAATGTTCATCCACGTATAAACATAAAATGACATAGCCGTCTACCGTGCTCTTCACATAGACGCATTTGTCACTTTCGTTTATCTTAAACCCATTAATTAACATTGCATGATCGAACTATCTTAAACCCATACAATGATTTAATTAATTTACAATCTTTCCTTTCTTGACCAGGAACACGAAAACACTCGGGTTTTTACGTCCATTTGATGAACTTCCAAATTCCGCAAAGCGGCAATTGCCCGTATTATCCTAATGGAATTTATTCTCGTCACCGGAGAATACGTGTCAAAGTAATCATGGCCCTCGCGCTGCTTGTATCCCTTGATTACAAGTCTGGCCTTATACTTATCAATGGAACCGTCCTGTTTCATTTTCCGTTTAAAAATCCACTTGGATCCCAAAGGTTTACATCCCGGAGGGAGATCAACCAATTCCCACGTGTGATTTTTTAGGATAGAGTCCACCTCACTTTTGATGGCTTCTTTCCACATTGGTCCTTCGGTAGACGTTACGGCTTCCGTATAAGTCCGTGGCTCATTTTCTACCAAACATGTTAGAAAATCCGGTTCATTTTCTACCGTACAAATTAAAATATTCGAATCGAATTCTACCAAGTATGTGAGAAAATCCGGTCCGAAGGATTTTCAACTCTAGCACGTTTGCTACGTCGGGGTTCGGGTTCTTCACCGGATCCCTCGCTAGTATTTTCCATAGCTACGTCAAATGTTCGTTTTGACGTGCTAGGTCCATCGTTGGACTTGCATGGAAATACGTCTTCAAAGAATGATGCATTCCTTGACTCAATTATTGTGTTTTTATGTACATCCGGATTATTCGAATCCTACACTAAAAACCGATAAGCACTACTATTTTGTGCATATCCAATAAAAATACAATCCACCGTTTTGGACCTATTTTTATTTTCTTAGGTGTTGGTACAAGCACCTTAGCAAGACACCCCCACACTTTTAAATATTGTTAGGAAG